AGATTGTCATGATACACACAATTGAAAGCCTTTGCATAGTCAATAAAGCACAGGTAAAGATCTTTCTGTTACTCTCCGCTTTCAGTCCAGATCCATCTGACATCAGCAAGGATATCCCTCATTTGAGTCAGGCTTAAACCTCTTGTGTCCTGTCAATGTACTGTCTCATCTATTTTCAATTATCTTTAGCAAAATTTTACTTGCATATGATATTAATTATATTGTCTAATGATTTCTGCATTCTGTTAGATCACCTTTCTTTGGAATGAGCACAGATATGAATGTCTTACAACTAATTGACCAGGTAGCTGTCTTCTAAATTCCTTGGCATAGATGAGTGATTGCATCTAATGCCATATCAGTTTGTTGAAAGATTTCAATTTGTGTTCTATCAATTCCCGGAGCCTTGTTCTTTGGCCATGTCTTCAGTGCACTTTGGACTTCTTCCTTCAGTACCATTGGCTCTTAATTATATGCTACCACTTGAAATGCTTCAACCTTGTCCATTTCTTTATGGTTCACTCACTCTATGTATTCCTTTCATCCTTGTTTGATGTTTTCTGCATAATTTAATAGTTGTTTTTGTTAAATGCCATTGAGTCTAGAAACCATCAATATTGCAAGTTGAGGCTTGAAATTTTTCTTTAGTTCTTTTCATCTTGAGAAATGTTGAGCATATTCTTTCCTTTTGGTTTTCTAAAACCAGATCTTTGCACATTTTGTTATTATATTTGATTTTGTCTTCTTAAGATGCCCTTTGAAATTTTCTGTTTTGCTCATTTACCTCCTCATTTCTTCCATTTTCTTTAGCATCTCTATGCTGGAGAGGAAGTTTCAGAGTTTTTTCTGACATCCTTCTTTTTTGTCTTCTTAATGTCCTTTTAAGAAGCTCTGGTAGCATGAATCGGGCTGCAAACCTTAAGGTCAGCAGTTCGAAACTACCAGCTGCTTTGTGGGAGAAAGATGAGGCTTTCAGCTCCTGTAAAGATTTACAGCCTCAGAAACCCTATACAGGGTCACTATGAGTTGGAACCAACTTGATGGCACTTAACAACAACAGTAGCATAGTAAGGAGCTCTGGTAGCATGGTGGTTATGAGTCAGGCTGCCAACCTCAAGGTCATCAGTTCAACACTACCAGCAGTTTCGTGGGAAAAAGATGAGGCATTTTGCTCCTGTAAAGATTTACAGCCTCAGAAACCCTCTGCAGGGTCACTATGAGTCGGAACCGACTCCACGGTACTTAACAACATCAAGTAGCAGAATGGTTATGAGTTGGGCTGCTAACCTCAAGGTCAGCAGTTTGAAACTTCCAGCCATTCTGAGGGAGAAAGATGAGGCGTTCTGCTCCCGTAAAGATTTACAGCCTCAGAACCTCTATGTAGGGTCACTATGAGTCAGAACCGATTTTGTGGCACACCAATGTCCTTTTGCTTTCTTCCTGTATGTTGTTCTTGATGTTATCACACACCTCTCCTGGTCTTTAGTCATTAATGCATCAAATCTCTTCTTAAGATGATCTCTAAATTAAGGTAGGATGAGTCTTGGTTTGGCATTGTAGGATAAAGCACTAGATTGCAAGGTCTGTTTGACCTTGTTCAACAGTTCAAGCTCACCAGCCACTCCTTGGAAACCATATACAAGATCGCTGTGAGTTGGGATCAACTCATCAGCACTTAACAACAGCAACATGTTTGTGGTCAAATTTTGGCTCTTGTGGACTTGTTTTAGTTTTTTTCGGCTTCAGCCTGAATTTTCATATGAGCAATTTATGGTCTAATCCACATTCTACCCCTGGCCTTGTTTTGGCTGATAATATGGATTTTTTTTCCACTGTCTCTTTCCACAAGTGTAGTCAGTTTGATTTCTGTGTATTCCATCTGGTGAGGTCCATGTTTATAGTCATCTTTTATGATTTTTTAAAAAGGTTTTTGCAATGATGAGGTCATTGGCCTTGCAAAATTCTATCATGCAATCTCCAGCATCATTCTTATCACTGATCCTTCCTCTTTATTGCCAACCTTTGCATTCCAACCAATATCAATACATCTTGATTGCAGGCTTGGTCAATTTCAGATTAACCAAGTTGGTAGAATTCTTCAATTTCATCATCACTGGGCTTAGTGGTTGGTGCACAGATTTTAATAATAGTGGTATTAACTCATCTTCCTTGTAGGCATGTGGATATTTTCCTATCACAGAAAGCATTATACTTCAAGATAGATCTTGAAATGCTCTTTTTGATGGTGAATGTGACTCCACTCCTCTTCAATTTGTCATTCCTACTGTATTAAACCATATGTCTGTCAGATTCAGAATGACCAATACCAGTTCATCTATTTATATGAACTACTAGTTGAGGAGGAAGTTGTTTTGTTTTTAGAATAATGTTGTTGTTAAGTGCCAACAAATCTATTCCAACTCATAGCAACCCTATATAGGATTTCTGAGGAATAGCTGGTGGTTTGGACTTGACGTTAGTAGTCCAGTCTTATCCTATAGTTGTTAAGTGCTGTTGAGTCGATTCTGACTGATAGCAACCCTGTACAGAGTTTCCAAAGAGCAGCTGGTAGGTTTGAACTGCCGACCTTGTAGTTCACAGTCCAGTGCTGATCCTACAGTACCACACCAGGAGTCCTATAGTTTTGGGGATATAATGCAATGCATATACCATTAAGTTCCTTTAATTTCTGTTTATCTAGAAATGTCCTAATTTTGCCATCCTATTTAAGGGACAACCTTCCTGGGTATATGATTCTTGGTTGGCTATTTTTTTCCTTTCAGAGTTTTGTATATGTCATCCATTGCCTTTTTGGTTGCATGGTTTCTGCTAAGAAATTAGAGCTTAATCTTATTAGTTCTCCTTTGTAGGTAACTTTTTGTTTTTCCCGAGCTGCTCTCAGGATTCTTTCCTTGTCTTTGGCTTTGAAAAGTTTGATTGTGATATGTCTTAGTGATTTTCTTTTGGTATCTATCCTGTTTGGGGTTCATTCAGCTTATATTCTTGTCTTTCATGACATTCGGGGAGTTTTCTTCCAACAACTCTACAACAATTTTCTCTGTGCTTTTTATTTTCTATTCTTGTTTTGGGACTCTGATCACCTGTAAGTTATTCCTCATCAAGATGTCTTACATAACTCTTAGGCTTTCTTCGTTGTTTTTTTTGTGGTTTTTTTTTATTCTTTTCCTGATTGTTCTTGCATAGTGGCATTGAGAGATTTATCTTCAAGCTCACTAATTCAGGATTCCATTGCTTCAAATCTCCTCCTTTGCCCTTTCAATGTAGTGTCCATTTCTGAAATCTTAGTATTAGTCTTCTGGATTTCTGATGACAGATTTTGTATTTGTATGTTATTTACCTAATGCAATACATCATCTGATTTCTTGACTGCTGCTTCCATGAGGGTTGGTAGTTGATCCAAGAAGAATGACGTCCTTGACAACTTTGAACTCACGGCAACTCGATGTGTGCAGAGTAGAACTACTCCGTAAGGTGTCTATAAGGCTGTGACCTTTCAGAAGCAAATCACCTGGCCTAGCTTCTGAGGGAACTTCTGAGGAAAGGTGAGTTCAAACCACCATCCTTCCTGCTGGTTGTTGTTGGTGTTAGGTGCCATCGAGTCCGTACCAACCCATAGCAATCTTATGCACAGCAGAACGAAACACTGCCCGATCCGGGGCCAACCTCACTACTGTTGCCATGCTTGAGCCCATCGATGCTGCCACTTGGCCAATCCATCTCGTTGGGGGTCTTCCTCTTTTTCTGACCCTCCACCTTACCAAACATGATATCCTTCTTAATCTTTTGAACCATCCAAGGACTTTTCATAATTGCTTCAAATTAATAAAACGAGATTAAATAAATTTACAGATGCAAAGGATTTTCTCCATGCCTTTATATATATATATTTGTTGTTGTTGTGAAGTGCCATCGAGTTGGTTCTGATCCATAGCAGCTCTGTATAGGGTTTCCGAGGAACAACTGGTGAGCTTGAACTGCCGACCTTGCAGTTCAAACAGCTTTGCAGTCTGGCGCATTAACCCACAGCACCACACCAAGTATATACATATATATATATATAACTTCATGATAAGTAATCCAGAAAAGCTTAAAGATAGTACCATTGATTTGTCTTTGTTTCCTATTGTTATTATAACAAATTACCAGCCAGTTAGCAAAATTGAAGCAACCCAGGTTATTCTTGAACAGTTCTAGAACTCAGCAGCTGAAATTAGTTTCATTAGGTTTGAAGTCCAACTGTTGGCAGTCCTGGCTTCTTCGGAGACTGTGAGGAGAGACTTGTTTCCTTGCTGTTCTCAGCTTCTAGTAGTTGTTTGTTTTCCTTGGCTTGTGGCCTCTTTCATTATCTTCACAGCACATTACTCCAGTCTCTGTTTTTGTCGTCACACCACCTTTACCTCTTAGTCCATCTTCCTTGCCTCACTCTGATAAAAAAAAACTGTAATTAGATTCAGACCCACCTAGATAATCCAGAATTCTCTCTCTTTCTCAAAATCTTTAATTTAGTAACACCTGCAAATTTCCTTTTGCTATAGATAAGCACTGGATTTCTAACAATAAGGTTGGCAGTCCAAGTCCACCAGCTGGTCCTCAGAAACCCTATACAGAGTCACTATGAATCAGAACCATCTCAGCAACATTTAACAACAACAATGACGTATAAGCTAAACACTCGCAGGTTCCAGGATTTAAGGGCCGTTGTTCAGTCTACCACAAGTTTACACACAGGATCTTATTTGTACAAGAAATCCTGGTGTGGCACTGTAGGATCAGCACTGGACTGTAAACCACAAGGTCAGCAGTTCAGATCTACCAGCTGCTCCACAAAATCCCTATTCAGGGTCGCTATGAGTCAGAACCGACTCAACAGCACTTAACAAGAAGACTTAATTAAAATGTTCATAACTTAGAATTGAAGCGTAACTATTGAAATGAACTCATACAGTATTTGTTTTTCCTTCTGTTGAATAGATATTAAGATGTCTGATAATGGCAGTGACTGTTTTGCCTCTGGAAACAATGCAGAAATTACGGAGCCAACCAATGATGATTCTTTACCTGATGATGCAGAACTGCACTGTGATTCAGCTACGATTTCAAAGGAGCCAACACCAGCTGACCCCGGAGCAGATGTGCATGAGGATGTAGCTGTTCAGAGTACAGTGACTCCTGACTCCAGGCACCCTGAGCAGCCTGTGGAGCTCCTCTTCAATGGAGAAGTGACCGAAGACACACTTGCCGAGTGTGTGGATGCCGTTAACCTTGAAGCAGAACCTGGATCCGAAATACCCCTGAAAGAACAGACTAATCCGGTAGGAGCAGCTCATCCCATCCACTTCCTTCTAAATTCTGACTCCTAGGTACCACAGGCATAGCTTTGTGCTAAAGTCTTACGGGTGGGGCTTGGGAGTTAAAATATAATACACCCATCTCTGACCCATGTGTGTGGTGAGATAGCACATATAAAGGGCAAATTTCTCATCATATTTATATTTTCATAATTGTATTAGCATTAATAATAATGTTTTTCTTATTAGTTGTCATCGAGTCTGCTCCATCTCCTGACCTTAGATATCATGGAATGAAACCGAGCCTAGTCCTAAGCTATCTTCAGCGTCATTGTCATGTTTGAGCCCACTGTAGCAGCTGTTGTGCCCATAGTCCATCACACTCAGGGTTTCTGTCATTCCTGTTGACCCTCTGTGTTACCCTGATGCCCTCTCTAGTGACTGGCTTTTCCTGACGACGTGTCCAAAGTAAGCAGGTTGACGTCATGCCATCCTTGCTTCTGAGGAACATTCTGGTTGTATTCTTTCTCATGCTGACTTATTCATTCTTCTGGCACTACACAGTACATTCAATGTTCTCCAATTCTATAGTTGGAGCGCATCATTGTTCAACTTTCACATGCAGTTAAGAGCATCAAAAGCAAACTTACTGCCATCTAGTTCATTCGGACTCATTTGCAACCCTATAGCACAGAGGAGTGTTGTCCCGAGGGCTCCCAAGGCTCTCATCTTTATGAGGAGTCCTGGTATGGCACTGCAGGGTAATGCACTGGACCGCAAGGTCCATTTGAACTGCAAGATTGGTGATTCAAACCCACCAGCAGCCCCTCAGAAACCCTACACAGGATTGCTATGAGTCAGAACCAACTCAACGGCACTTAACAGCAACAACAACAAATCTTTATGGAGCCAGAGCCTGGTGGCACAGTGGTGAAGTGCTTGACTGCAAATGAAAGGTCAGCTATCCGCGCCTATCAGCCACTCCACAGGGAAACGATGAGACCGTCTGCTTCCTTAAAGAAGCCCATGCAGCAGCTCTGCTCCAGTCACAGGCATGCTAGGTCTTGGAACTGACTTGACAACAGTGGATTGGGGGCATTTTTATGGACACAGACTGCTACATCATTCTCCTTTGGAGTGACTGTCCAAACTGCTGCCTTTTTGGTTCCCAACTGAGCGCTTAACCACTGCACCACAAGGGCTCTTTCAATAATAAGAACAGGCACCAATTATTGGGCATGCCCTGTGCGCCACGCACTGGGCAAACTCTTTTATATATTGTGTTCATTGGACACACCAGTTCTCTGAGGCTCTGAGGTAGGTATTATTAGCCCCAATTGACAGAGGAGGCAGCCAGGCTCAGAGAAGTTCAAGGACTTGTCCAGGCCTTCCCTGTAGTAAACAGAAGAACTTGTGATATCCAACATAACGAGTCCCAATTAATAATACATCTTGGTTCTACCCTCAGTAAGTTAACGTTTCTGTAAGTTCCAATGCAGAATTGCAGGTTCACTGTGGAGCTAGCAACCATTCAGGTAAGTATGTTAGCCCTTACATACCTACTACCTTCAGGAAAACAGAGGCACAACTCAGTGCTCCTTCCCTCAGTGCCTGAGCCTTTGTCTCTCTGGGGATAAGATAGACCACCGTCCTCCTATTTGTGCCTTGTGCCACACCAATACAGACGTCTAAGCTGGGCTCCTGGCATGTTTAATAAAGTGGAGGCATTGACCCATGACATCACCAGTGGGCTCACACTGATGATGATGACGATAACACAGAACTAGCTAATGTGACATCCAGTTTACATGGGATCACCATGAGTCTGAGCCCACTCAAAGGCAAATAGCAGTAACACTGTCCAATACTAACACATATGGCCAATTACGGAGAAGGAAAAAACTCCAAAATCCTCTTTTGTTGTTGTTAAGTGCTGTCTAGTTGATTCCAACTCATAGCAACCCCGTATAGGGTTTCCTGTGAGCTGCTGATTGGTTTGAACCACTTGTGTGGTTCAAACCGACCCTGGCGGTTTAATGTGTCTCCTACAGTGCCACGCCAAGACTCCAAAACTTTCTTTTAGTTACCACTAAAAATGTTCTCAGTGGAAAATATAGAATCTCACTTGATGGTTCTCTCTGCAGAAAAAGAAAAGTAAAATGTTAACAAGCCATAAAATTGCTGTTAAGAGAGACAAAGAAGAGGGAACACAGGCCACTACACACTGATAGCAGGTTTCTGCCTCCTAAACAGAGGGAACCCTGGTGTGCCACTGTGGGTTAATGCACTGGACTGCAAAGTCAATTTCAATTGCAAAGTTGGTTTGAATTACTGATCTTGCAGTTCAAGCTCATCAGCCGCCCCTCGGAAACCCTATACAGGTTTCTATGGGTTGGAACTGCCTCAACAGCACTTAACAACAACAAACAGAATGAGTCCTGGTGTGGTGGCTGTGGGCCACAAGGTCGGTGGTTCAGGCCCACCAGCCACTCTTGGAAGCCCTATACAGGCTGCTATGAGTCAGAACTGACTTGACAACACACAGCAATAACAAAGTGAGTAGTTGTTCTTAAGTGCCATCGAGTAGGTACCAACTCACAGCAACTCTGTGCACAACATAAAACACTGCCCAGTGCTGTGCCAACCTCACAATCATTGCTACTTTGGAGCCCATTGTTGATGCCACAGTTCCAGTCCAACTCTTTAGGGATCTTCCTCTTTTTCTTCCACCCTCCACTTTACCCAACATGATCTCCTTCTACAGGGACTGGTCCCTCCTGACAAAATGTCTGTAGCATGCGAAAGACCAAGTCTATCCATCCTGGCTTCCAAGGAGCACTCTGGCTGTACTTCTTTAAACACAGATCATTTGCTCTTGTGGCAGTCCATGTTACTTTTAATATTCTCCTCCAACACCATAACTCAAATGCATCAATTCTTCTACGGTTTTCCTTATTCACTGTCCAACTTCCATATCCATATGAGGCTATTGAAAATACCAGGCATGGCTTGTGTCAGGCACACCTTAGTCCTTAAATGGACATCTTTGCTCTTGAGTACAGAGTAGCATTTACTCCAATTTTATGTATTTCCCCTTTTAAACCTTCCCAACACAGTGACACCCAATTTTTGACTGGACCAAAATGCCATTTGGTTATGTAGGGGAGTGACTCCCAAATCTGATGATGCATTAGAGTCATCTGGAAAACATGATTCCTGAGCTCTAGTTTGAGAGATTCTCATTCAAAAGATCGTAGTGGAAGCTAGGGTTGTGTTTTCAGTAAGTTCTCCCAGATGATACTCTCACAGTGGGGCTGTGAGACAGTGCTTGGGAGCCACTAACACCAGGACATGGAGTTCTGGGGTGGTGCTGCAGGATAAGCACTTGACTGCTAACCACAGAGTGGGTGGTTCAAACCCACCAACTGCTCCTTGGAATTAACTCCATAGCACTTAACAACCACAATGACAGCAGGACACAAGAAATCCTAATTGAGTGTGAGATGGGGGATGGCATTGAGAAGGTGATGAGTTCAGTTTTGAGGATGCCACGGGACATCTAAGTGAAGATAATTTGGTGGGCACTTGGTTATAATGGTTTGGAGCCCAGAGGCAATAGAGATGCATGGCCAATGAGCATGTGCATGGTTGTTTGAGAAATGGAAGAGCTGAGATTGCCCAGGTGTTGTGTCTAAATAAAGACCAGAGGCCAAGGAGGCAGTCTGGAAGGCTCCTGTCGCTAAGCCAGATTGGCTCTGCATAGCTCTTAGCATCTCTCTGATAGTAGTAGCCCTGCAGAAGTAGAGGTGACGAGAGTTACCCCCACAATCTCACCACCGTATTATGCAATGAAAGCAAGTTCCACACAGACATTTTAAAATTCAGCATTTATTAACAGAAATGTCAGAGCAATTCAGGACCCTGACCGTAGGCGTTCTCACCACCTCTGTGAGTGGCTCAGTCAAGGCAAAGCTAGGTTGCAGAGGGAAGATGGTGCTGCTGTATGGAACTGAGTAGAACTGCCCCCTTTGGGTTTTCTTGGATGTCATCTTTACGGAAGCAGATCACCAGCTATTTCTTCTGCAGAACCACTGGGTGGATTCTAAATAACTGCATTTCATTTCCCAGCCAAAAACTTAACCATTGCACAGCCCAATTTCCTTTATCACTCAGAATTGCCCAGAATTTATAGCTGGAGAGAAGACCATTTAGCCCAGGGTGAAACCCTTTCGGATACCCTATTCATATAAAGGCAGGAATAATCTCTAATATATATATATATGTTTTTAACAATCTATACATCTTGAAAGAAGGCTGGTAGTGCTGTCAGATACGTACTGGACTGCTAACCACAAGGTTGGCAGTTCAAACCCACCAGGTGCTCCACAGGAGACAGATGAGGCTTTCTGCTCCTGTAGACATTTACAGCCTCATCATTGTTGTGATGTACCGTGGAGTCGCTTCTGACTCATAGCAACCCTGTACTGGGTTTCCAAGGCTGTAAATCTTTACGGGAGCAGAAAGCCTCATTTTTCTTCCATGGAACAACTGATAGTTTCGTACTGCTGCCCTTAAGGTTTGCAGCCCGATTCGCAACCACTACACTACCAGAGCTCCTTATTTACAGCCTCAGAAACCCTTCATAGGGTTGCTATGAGTTCAAACTGACTGGACGGCACCTAACAACAACAACAGAACCATTTAGAATGCTAGTTAGCAGTCCACCATGTTTACCAATTAAAGCCCATTTTTGCCACTCAGTTTGCTAATTACAAAGCATCGAGTGTTTGTAGAGATACAGATAATGGGGGAGCTCATAATCACTGCCTCCAGAGTACGACTTTCCTAGGATAAGTAGAATGACAGCATGTATTTTGTTGGAATGTAGGTAGCATTTGGATTGTGACTTAATCTAACACGCGCATGTACTGTCACATTATATACAAATAAACACTCTAAAGTCAGGACCTGAAATCATGGTACTAGCTTTCTTATCGTCAGTACTTGTTTGTGTGCAATCCCCT